CCCAGCCAAAAGGCTTGACTTGGATGAACAACAGAGCTCCTCCAAGGTATCAATTCCTTTGGTCTTCACATTCCATTAAAAGGCCTGCTCCTCTGGTTGCTTTTGGCATTTCCCACTTATAGCAAGCTGGAGTAAATGATGATAAACATGTTTTCTTGATTTATAAGGCTACAATTGTATTAGTCCCTATTGCGTGTCAGAAGCAATATAGTAAATGTAGTGCAAGCTCTTAACTTCACAGACGAAAACACCGACTCCTCAGAAAGGAAGCAGATCCAGCCAGGGAGCGCTATCTGCCCAGCATCCTTGGGAACTCCAAAACATTAATTCAGCTTATTTTTTTCTCACAGAAAGTAGCCTGTCCTTGACTAATCAGCTATGGACTACAGAGCCAAACATTATTCACTTCCAAATTCCTTTTCTTCAGCACACCCTACCTGGCACACTCTTCAGTGATTGCACAATGAACCTTGAGATCTTGCAAATGCTCACTTTATAACGGAATGATCTGGATTCTCAAAGTCTTACAGCTAAAGAGCAATTAGGCAGTAACGTGAAATAAGGTGTCTTTTCTTTTGGTAGCTGCTGCTTAGGGACAAATCAGAGCGCCACTGGTTGCACCATACAGCCTTACAAGTCGGGTGGACTTGTTTCCTTCTTCTGCCTCACTATCCCACAACTGTATGGGTTTCCAGAGCTCAATCAGCCTCAACTGTCTGCGTTGGGAAAGGGCAGGTCACGCAGCCAATCTCAGGAGACCGGTATGGGGAATCAGGGAAACAGCACTTGCGTTTATAACTTGAAACAAAGTAGAGACTACTGATTTTCTCTTTTCATTTACTAGTCTACCGAACAAATGTTGAGAACCAGCAGTGAGATAGTTTCCTGCTGCTGAAGATGCAACCACTGGGAAAGATGGTTAGAGGCCAGAGAAGTCAAGGGAAAAAAAATCATCTTAAGGATTGATGTAAAAAACAAATAGTGTATCAATATCAATGAAATTTCTCCCTTAGTGAAACCAAAAGCATTCCAAGATTCTTTAGTTGATATATATATATATATATATATATATATATATATATATCTTTACACACACAGATATGTTAAGATTTTTTTGCCTAACCATAAGTGTGGAAGAAAAACATTTCTGAAATAAAAGGGTTTTTAAATTTTTATTATTCTTGCTGGGCAGTGGTGGTCCACGCCTTTAATTCCAGCACTCAGGAGGCAGAGGTAGGTAGATGAATTACTGTGAGTACAATGCCAGCCTGGTCTATGAGAGCTAGTTCCAGGACAGACACCAAAACTGCACAGAGAACCCCTGTCTCGAAAAAAACAAAAGAAAACAAAATATCATTGGGTGGGGTGAGTGTGCATGCACACGGGCACATGTGTAGAATGTGGATATAGACATGCACACTACAAGATGTGTGGCAGTCAGAGAACAATGTTATGGAGCCAGTTTTCTCCTCCCACCTTTGACTGGGCTCTGGAAAGAGAACTCAGGTCTTCAAGTCTACAGGCACCTTTATTTTACATGCCGAGTTGTCTTTCCAGGCAAAATAAAAGTGATTGTTTCCGTGTTTTCCTCTCAAGGTGCTAATACTTTCTAGTGAGTCTGACATGGTAGTGCATGTCCGTAATTCCAGCGATGTGGAGGCTGAGGTAGGAGGATTGTGAGCTCTAGACAAGGCTGGGCTATGTAATAAGCTCAAGCCACCCTGGGTAATATAACGAGATCTAATCTCATAAAAAAAAAACACCACCCCCAATAAAAGAAAAAAAATAAAATCACCAAACAAAGCAAAACGAAACCAAAAGCCTAGTAACACAATTCACAATTCACGTAAGCACGACCGTGCACTGTTCAAAGAGCAGTTCATGGTTGCGATGAGATGGCAAACAAGTTGAAAAGCAAACATGCATAGGTCATTCTGGCTTCTCTCTCTCCGAGATGAGGTGAGCATGCTTGTGGCTACAGGAATTTATGATTTCCATGGATCTCATATAGATTTACAATCTCAACTCCAAATCGCCAGCCGTCATGTTAGAAAGCTAGGACAGGTGGTGCCCCATGCCTTCAAACCCCAGCAATGTGAAGGCAGAGACAGGAGGATCTCTGCAGCCCATTGACTAGTTAGTCTTGCCCAGTCGGTGAGTTCTAGATTCAATGAGACCTAACAACAAAGGAGGAGGGCAGTAGAGAAAGACTCCCAGCACTTGACTTCTGGTCTCCAGATACATGTACACACACGTACACCCCTGCCCTAAGCATGCAGACATACATAAGCATGTACACACACACACACACACACACACACACACACACACACACACACGTACATCACAATACAAATAAAAGTTTAAAAAAGAAATTATGAAGCTTCTAACTAAGCGGCTAGATAAATCTTTAGAGGTCAGCTACTGAAAAACAGTTTTCTTGGTCTCATATATAAGCAAATATTCATAACATAACTAGAGGTCTTCTATGACAAAGGCAATGATAGCTGTGTATAATATCGTGTGCACATTACATCTAGGATGACAATAAGTCCACTGTGTTCTGTTTCCTGCTTGATGTTGCAAAAGACCAGATCGGTTTCCATTAATTTTTTTAGATAGCTTTTTCTTTGTGTATGAGTGCACACATACAGCTGTACGTGTAGGCACTGTATGTGTGGAGGTAATAGAATAACTTGAGGGAGTAGGCTCTCTCCTTCTACCATGTGGGGCTCGGGGAATCACACTCAGGTCATTAGGCTTGGCAGCAAGCATCTTTACCTGGTGAGCCATCTTGCTGGACCACTATTCATCTTTGCCGTCACAATTTATCAAATACTTCCGTCTTTTAAGCTGACGCCTGGAAAGGCTGCCCTAACATAAAACTAATTTTACATGTGTGTCCTCTTCAGAAAACTGACGCAACCAGACAACAGAGAAACTTGTAACAAATGTTTGTTAAGACGAAATAGCTGCCTTGGAATTAATGGTATAATGTTTATTATTTCAAATGTCATTTTCTCTACCATCCACTCCCAACAACACGCTCCCAAAAACAAGGTCAAAAGAAAGCATTTAGGTGACATACAAAAAAAAAAAACAATATTTATTTTACTTTCTTATAAGAAGTTAAACAGAAAGACTCCTAGTTGAAGACATTACCAAAAACATTAACATTATTTCATGTATCCCTTCAGTGCCCAGATTCAGAAAAAGGTTATCTGAATGGAAGAAAAGAAATGGTACTCCTTACACTGGGTTTACTTATATATGTAGGTGAAAACAATCCATATACCTTAGTCAAAATAATATATGAACCTACAAGTTTCCAATAAGCAATGTACTCATGAAGAGTTCCCAAGTCCTGGAGATTGCTCTTGTTCATTAAAACAAAGGTATTCCTATCATTTACTATCGCCTTTCCCCTCTGCTACTGAACTGCTGAAAGAGGAGGTTGGAAGCAAAATAAGATGTCCTTGTTCCCAGGCTGCATGACTATCAGAATGGGTGCTCTCGGGGCATTTCATCACCGTCTTCATCACCATCCACATAGGCCAGCAGGAAAAGTGGCACTGTGCAAGGCATTTAGGTGCTTTCCTTCCCAGAACTATGAAATCCTGGGGAAGGAGTGGTTTCACTCTTCTACAGGAAGCTAGGTCTTCATTCTAGTGGACAGTAGGAGAAACTCGGAGACCTCCGATGCCTGTAGCCCAGCAGCAATCTGACACCCAAAATAAAAGCACCGGGAGATGACACCCATGAGTCACATCACTCACCCTCATTTCCTAAAATGTGAGGGCACAGTGCTCCTCCACTGCCACTACTCCTACAGAAGCAAGACTCCCCTTTGTCCCAGCCTGTGGAGATCAGGGGTCTCTTATCTTCCCTGCTTAAGGACAAGAGATGCAAGAAGCATCATTTTATTGATATGAACTGGTAAATGCCTGAAGAATTTGTGATATGAAGTTCTTCAGTCCTTGCTAGTGATCTGTAGGTATGAGAAAGAGAAGTGGGGTACCTCTCACTGTTTTGAATTTACGGGAAGCAGGCAGAATAGGGGATACACATATGCATATATCGTGGGAATGGGGCAGAATGGAAACCCAACATATGCAAAAATCTAGTACACAGTTGGAGCCCCACTTGGCTCCCTCTCAATAAAACACAGAACATTTGAATGGACAGAACCATTTGCAGCATGGAAAATAGCCATCCTAAGGCCTATCTTACAAACAAAGAAAAACAGGCACTAATCTTTTTTCCCCCTCAAGCAAATAGAGCCTAAATTCTAAGCGAAGAAAAGACATCATCTCTATTAGAAAATGCACAAAGAAACACCAATTGCTCGAAACCCTCAACTAATTGCAGGCTCACAGGGAAGTAACAAAACCTGTATGAATTAGTCGTTGTTGTTCAGAATACTCATCTTTTACCTGAGATGCAAATTATTCCCTGCTCCACTAGATAGTCTAAGCAAATCTGTACCCTCAATTTCACTAAAAGTCGAAAGGCTATACGAAAGAGAATGCGGGAGAGGCATAGCAGGGAATAAGCATAGACGATGAGAAGTTCAAAAGTCTGGGAAATGGCAGGCTATCTGAAGATAAAGAAAGTACTAAGAAATAAGGAGTCCCAAAATTATATAAACCCAGGAGTGGGGTCCCATCCCTCACACTAGATACAAGTACAAGCTAGATACATAGTCCATACTTGATTTGAGTAGCAGAAATGACGTGGGGCAGACATATTTCCAGACTCCCTGACTTCAACTCTAATACTAGGTCATTCTGCCTCCACTATCCCACAAAATCCTGCAAGGACATAAACAGCCTTGGTGGAGAAGTTGCCTCTGCGTTTTTTTCTACATGTCATCACCGTGGCCAAGATGACTTCTGGGAAATTCAAGGCAGAGGGAAATGCTACTGAAGTGGATAATGACAGCACATTTTAATCACCACAAACATTACTCAGTAGGTTCCCAAACAATAGGCAGTATTGTATCAGTTTTGTTTGTTAGATGTTCTCTGGGAATCAAGTTCAGCACTAGCATACACACCCCAAGTGAGTTTCCTCACAAGTAAAATTTCGTGGTGTTAATCCACACAAAGAATACAGAGCAAGCAGAGATTCTTTAAGGAAGTCATCATGACTCCTGATAAGATGAATCCATGCTCATTGTCCCCTTTTCTTTGTCATCTAGTTTGGACACTTGGCAAAGGACATCTGCTTTTAAGAGTCAACGAGAACAAGAAAGGTTCTGCTCTCGTCTTGAAGAGCTCCATTAGTTTGGGTTTTTCGGTGCAAAACTGACATGAAAAAGCCATGGCTCTCTTAGGAGCTGCCTGCGCTTCAAGGGTCCAGTAGTTTCGATTTCTATTTAACAAGCCCTCGGATAACAGATGGAGAGTGCAGTGAATCTTCACAGGGTCACATTGATAGAAGACCAGAAGTCAGTTCTCCCCATCACTGAGCTGCTTTCTTCAGGTTTTCGATCAGCACTACAGAATCCGTTTCCTCTTTGGATTGCTTCTCGTAGATGTCATACTTCTTCCAGTGCTGCAAGGAAGAACAAGAACACGCCCGGTGACTTCACAGCCACATTCTCTCCCCAGGCATTGGGAGTCAGCGCTTACTTTTAAGTTTGTATGCACAAGAACAGTAAGAGCAATGCTTTCCTGCTTTGGGTCTTCTGATCTAAGAATACTCATCGAGTGGGACAATTAATGGAGCCAAACAATCAAGAATGAACATCAAAGACAGGAAAAACATGGGATTGTTACATAGCGTTTAGTGGCTGTCTGAAGAGATAAACAAATTGAGATATTTGCAGAACTAGAAACAGTCTTTGGGAAATAAACTAAAAGGTGGCCCACTTTTCCAACTGTCGTACTTGGGATTTTATTTTCTTACCACTCACATTGGACCACTGCTCCAGAAACAGCACAGGCTCCCAAAAGTTAATTACCGTCTAGTTAACAAGACCCTGGATATCCTGAAAGTCTGAGTCCTAGCAGCTGTGAAAATCTCTATACTAACCCTTCATTTAACATCATTTGCCAGACGGACCGATTTGTTAGACATTATGTGTAATGGACTCATTATACAGAGCTTCTCCTGAATGGGATCCAAGCATATTTTCATAGTAAAAAGCCAACATTCTGGTCCTTTGGCCATCTTTGGCAGTCTGGGGAAGGGATGAACTTATTTATTTATTTATTTATTTATTTATTATGTATACAATAGTCTGTCTGTGTGTATGCCTGCAGGCCAGAAGAGGGCACCAGACCCCATTACAGATGGTTGTGAGCCACCATGTGGTTGCTGGGAACTGAACTCAGGACCTTTGGAAGAGCAGGCAATGCTCTTAATCTCTGAGCCATCTCTCCAGCCCCAAAGAATGAACTCTAAACTCAGTTCTGTCATCTGTAAAAAAAAAAAAGCTGCCAGAGAAAAGTATAGGCAAAGTATGAGGCACAGACGAGCCTAGCTAACTGCCTGTGTGAGGAAATCAAGTTTTTATTGAAAGAGAATCACGTATTTTTGTATTGCCTATAGTTGTTTTCATTCTGTAAGCTTTAAATTGTTGCAGAGAGTGAAATACTTTATGAATAAAACAAGAACCCTTTGCAGAAATAAAGCCACACCACTCCCTGCACAGGCTTGGGACTGGGCTCCCTTTCTCCTTGGTGCTCTACCGTTCATTGAGCTTGCGGGAAGATGGGGAAGTCAGAGAGACAGAAACAAGAGCAGCCTGTTTAGCTGTGGCGGGCTGCGGCACTGAGGAAATAGGACCAGTAGTAGTAGTGGTAGTGTATGGAGCTAAAAACTGGGAGATGCTGTTTAAAATAGCCATTTTTTCCTAAATAAAATATTTAATGCTAGCATACCTGACAGAGTTGTGAAGTGCTGCCGAGGATGCTGAGGAATCTGATTGGTCACGTATTTTTGGAGGGAATGTAAACTAGTAGTCACTCTGTGAAACAGCCTTATAATTGTGTAACTCTGAGCATACACTTAGCATAGGACCCTAAAGTCTTGCTCCTGTCTATTTACCCAGAAGAAAAGAAAACACGTCCATACAGAGACTTTATTTACATTCACAGCACCTTAACTCCTAACAACCCAATGATGTGTAGTCCTGATGTCCTTATACAAGAGAATGTTAAATAAACTATGGAGTATTTCTTAGCAATACAGAGAAGTAAACTGTTGTTGGCATATGCAATGATAAGAATATTTTCTTACTACATCATTACTAAGTGAAAGAAGCCAGATTCAGAAATCTATGTATCTTAGGATTCCATTTGTTTGACACTATGGAAAAAGAAAGATTCTGGGGATGGAAAATAGATCAGTGGTTGCAAGGGACATGACCCGTGGTTTTCAACTTTCGTCATGTTGCAACCATTTAGTACAGTTCCTCATGTTGTAGTGACCCTCGAATATTTTTCTTTGCTAGTACAGTTCCTCATGTTGTAGTGACCCCCGAATATTTTTCTTTGCTAGTACAGTTCCTCATGTTGTAGTGACCCTCGAATATTTTTCTTTGCTAGTACAGTTCCTCATGTTGTAGTGACCCTCGAATATTTTTCTTTGCTAGTACAGTTCCTCATGTTGTAGTGACCCTCGAATATTTTTCTTTGCTAGTACAGTTCCTCATGTTGTAGTGACCCTCGAATATTTTTCTTTGCTAGTACAGTTCCTCATGTTGTAGTGACCCTCAAATATTTTTCTTTGCTAGTACAGTTCCTCATGTTGTAGTGACCCTCGAATATTTTTCTTTGCTAGTACAGTTCCTCATGTTGTAGTGACCCTCGAATATTTTTCTTTGCTAGTACAGTTCCTCATGTTGTAGTGACCCCCGAATATTTTTCTTTGCTACTTCATAACTTTAATTCTGCTACTGTCATGAATCATAATGTAAATATCTAATACACCTTTAATCCCAGCACTCGGGAGGCAGAGGCAGGCGGATCTCTGTGAGTTCGAGACCAGCCTGGTCTACAAGAGCTAGTTCCAGGACAGGCTCCAAAACCACAGAGAAACCCTGTCTCGAAAAACCAAAAAAAATATATATATATCTAATATGCAGGATATTTGATATGGTACCCCTGTGAAAGGGTTGTTTGACTCCCAAAGGGGCTGAGATCCACAATTTGATAACGACTGGTCTCAAGTGAGGGCTGGAGCTGACTCCAAAGGGACACGAAAAAATTACAGAAATATTCTATATTTCTACTGGAGTGGAGACCACAAAATTGCATCTACTTGCTAAAATTCTTCTAAGGGAACACTTAAAAAGGATACATTTGTTATTTGTAAATTGAACTTGAAAAATTCTATAGTTTAAAAAATGTAAAATGTTCAGACTTCTAAGAAAAACAATCCAAAAAGTTAAGATAGCCTTAAAACAACGGTTTACTCAATAAATGGCACTATGCCAACTGGCTAAGCATTTGAAAAAACAAAGCTAAACACTCCCTCATAGACTCCACCAATTAAGCCCCAAGCATAAAACACAAAGTCAACTAAATACACAGGGAAGCAACTTTGTAAGTTTCCAATGGTATAGACTTTCTGCACACAAAATATCATTTTTGAGAGGTAGTTTTACTGCAGAAAAAAATTTCTCTAGCTTCATATTTTAAATAATCATCCTTTGGCTTGTTAGCCATTGTTGCCTTTTATTGTATTTATGGTGATTATCTAAATACAAATGATTTTATGAGAATTTGTAACATATGTTGCTAAACAAAACATCCATATTACTTAAGCATGAGAATTCAAAATAATTATATTCACAGGAAGTCTATATTAAAACTAGGGTATACAAATTTCGAGATTTACCAGTAGCAGTGTTCAAATACTTTAACTTCCAAAAGCAGTTTCACGCATGGATACACATAACTTATTCAAGCCACATGAGCTCCTTGGGTAAAAATTTGTCACTTCAAATCTGCACATCTCTAAACTAAAATCTACTTGAGGAGCAGGTCAGTAGTATAGCATGTGCAAAGTTCCATCAATAGTATTAAAAGAAAGAGAGCGAGAGAGATCCAAAAATCTATTTTTAGATTAAGGGGCATACAAAAATAAGTGGCAGCCGGCAGGATTTGGCTCATGGTTTGTAATTTGCAGAGATATGAAGGCAGGAAAGTAGTTTGTGGCAGCATGGTATGGTATTTGTCTCTCTATACAAATGCAATCATTAAAAAAATAAGAAAGGCAAACAGCGTTATTAGTAAAGCAAACAAATAATACCCCAAATAAGTGTTTATGGGGACGAAAAAGTCATGGTTATGTGGAAGAGTACACAGAAAGAATCCACATGGATCCAAGAGGCCTAAGAAGTTGGTGGGATCTCAAGCATCACTGAGCGAATTTCTGAACATTTTAAGAGTCTGCTAAGCCAGGCGGTGGTGGCACGCGCCTTTAATCCCAGCACTCGGGAGGCAGAGACAGGTAGATCTCTGTGAGTTCAAGGCCAGCCTGGTCTACAAGAGCTAGTTCCAGGACAGGAATCAAAAAGCTACGGAGAAACCCTGTCTCGATAAATCAAAAAAAAAAAAAAAGAGTCTGCTAAATCACAAAAAGTCCAAGACACAAGCTCTCTAAAGCGAGTCTCCCTTGCAGGATGAAGCTGCACTCTGAAGAGAAACTAGGGGGAATAGACACCAAAGGATTTGCATGGCAGGAAAAAGAACTGGATAAAAAAGAAAGAAAATCCAGATAAATGTGGAGATGGAGATGAGGGAAGGAGAGATGGAGGAAGAAGTTATAAAAAGAAAAGGCCAGGTATATTGGCACATGCCTGGAATCCCAGCACTTGGGAAGCAGAGGCAGAAGGATAACTACAAGTTCAAGGGAAGCCGGGATTACAGAGGAAGTTGCAGGACTACCTAGAGAGACTGATTCTCACCACTAAAGAGTAATAAAAGGAGGCAGATGGGAAGGCAGGACCTTCCAAAGTCATTTTTTATAATTTTCAAAACTTCTCAAAGCCATAGAAGAGAGGGCTGTATAATCATGAAATTAGTAAGGCAGACCCGAGTAAAGCCTCTCTCTCTTTTTTAAAGTTTAGGAAACCAAATTCACATAAAAATGAACAACAGAATAATATCTCCACAGAAGTAAAAGTCGCCAGAAATATGTCCATGAAAACTATACCCTAATATTTGAAAGCTTGATGAAGAAAAATTTACACAGAATGAGATATTATAAATCCCATGAAGGAATGTATAAATATTCAGAACAGGATTCAGGAAATTAGATGAGAAAAAATTCAGAAATTAAATGAGAAAACTCAGTAAAGAATTAGAAATAAAGGAAAATAATAATTTCATTTCAGAAATGAAGACTAAGCTAGGGGACCATGGGCGAGTAAACAAAACAGATTGTTAGATGATGTCTTCAGAGAACTAGCACCTGAGATGGGGATTTAGACAATTATCACACAGAGGGTGCAGCAAATGGAGAAGGAAGGCAAAAAGCCAAGCGTAGACTAGGTCAGACATCCCTCACACAAAATGCTGAAGAGTAAAGGCGTTTGGGGTTTG